CAATCCCATGATGGGTGACCCACTGGGAAAGTTCTCATGTGAGTTCCCAAAAACAAAACCGTGAGGGCTTGGTCGGGGCCTAAAGTGGACAATATCGAGCTACGATGGAGTCGAGCCCAGGTTGTGGTGGGAGCCAATCCCTGGCCGGATGTGTGCCAACGAGGACGTCAGGCCCCTAAGGATGATGGATTGTAACATCCCACATCACCCAAGGGAGTAGATCCTTTAAGCCTTATATGTATATTCTCATCTCAACCTAGCACGATGCCTTTTGGGAGCTCACTAGCTTCAGGTTCCATAGGAACTCTGAAGTTAAGCGAGTAGCGCGCGAGAGCAATCCCATGATGGGTGACCCACTGGGAAAGTTCTCGTGTGAGTTCCCAGAAACAAAACCATGAGGACGTGGTCAAGGCCCAAAACGGACAATATAGTGCTACGGTGGAGTCGAGCCCGGGTTGTGGTAGGAGCCAATCCATGGCCGGATGTATGCTGACGAGGTGTCAAGCCCCTAAGAGGGGTGGATTGTAACATCTCACATCGCCCAGGGGAGTGGATCCTCTAAGCCTTATATGTATATTCTCATCTCTACCTAGCACGAGGCCTTTTGGGAGCTCACTAGCTTCGGGTTCCATAGGAACTCCGAAGTTAAGCAAGTAGGGTGCGAGAGCAATCCCATGATGGGTGACCCACTGGAAAAGTTCTCGTGTGAGTTCCCAGAAACAAAACGTTGAGGGCGTGGTCTGTGCCCAAAGCGGATAATATCGTGCTACAGTGAAGTCGAACCCGGGTTGTGGTGGGGGCTCGGGCCAAGATGTGACACTTCTCAACTGGGCTTCAGGCAAGTTTAAGTTGTTTTGGCACCTTTGGGTTTTCCTTAATGCAAAGCCCAATGTTTAAATATCAACCCAAACAGTGCCCCATTTAATCATTGTTAAGTCTGCAAACCGAGACATTAATAATGATTAAACACCAGGTGCATGCTTTTACTCAGAACTTGCACCATTTAAATAGCCATTTTCGAATAAATTGCACTAACCCACAATTTCCAACGTTATCTAACTACCCATTATATAACCTGCATTTAAATCTCTCAGCCAAATACCCTTAGCAATCCTTATTCTCCGAGTTTCCAAAATTCCCAAATTTTCCAAAACTCTGTTGCCTTCTCATTTCTTCCTTGCTTTCTTCCCAAAATTTAACCAATGGCACCCAAAACTCATCTTAGATATGAGTCCGGCAAAGGGATCGTCAACTTGCGCCGTCAACTCAACGACCTCCATCCCCCTCAGGCTAGCCTGAATTCCTCAATCTTTGAGGAATGAGGTGTCTACTCCCTGGGCCCGACCTAGATTGGCTGAGTCCTAATTGCAGTGGAGAGCAACATGCCCTCTACTAGCTAGTTCACCCCAAACCCCTATTCTGCCAAGGCTGGCATTTCGGCCCCCAAATGGTCGAATCATCAAAGGGGTTTCCCATTAATGAAAGATGAATCTTGGATGCTATGGGTAAATGAGCTCGATCCTATCTGGAAGAAGAAGTGGATGGACAATGACATCTACGAGTTTATTATGCTCTCCAAAGTTACTGTTGTTGCCAAGCCCGAGCTCCTGACGACAACTCTCTTATTTTGGAACAATGGGACAAATACATTTGATTTTAGAATAGGTCTCATATCTCCAACTGTCCTTAACATGGCTCAAGTCTTCCGGCTGAGACCCTCGGGCAGGTGCGTGGATATCCCCCTCTTGCCCAACTACTAAAGACTCGGGCGCCTCTAAGTCAATTACTCGTCTAAAGTACACTTCTTCCACCTTCAAGAGCTATGGGACGTCCCTCGCGGGCTTCATCCCATTTGCAAAGAAGACATTCAACCCGCCTTCCCCGATTACCAACAAGGATCAGGAGCACATGTATTTCCTCCTGTATTGGTTAAACAAACATGTGTACCCAAACAAATCCAAATGAGTGAAGCTGGAATGGATCCCTTTGGTGGAAGCCTTCCATTTCTTCGATGATGTGGCCATGGGGTCTTTCCTCTTCGCACACCTCTACCACCTTTTGTATGAAATGACCAGAGGCTCTTCGAGACCAATCTCAACGAGCCAACTTGGATGGTCCAATTATGGCTCCAATAGTACTTCGCTGAGTTCCGGGCGCCCAACCTAGAGTTCCCCAAAAGAGTGGCTCCAGCGCGTATCTTGGCCGAGGCATCTCCCACCAACCATTCAATACTTGCTTGCCTATACTTCTTCAAAGTTTGTCGGACTCGGGCAAACTTGGAGTAGGGTGCCCCCGTGCTCAAGAGGTATCCATGGTTCTCCGACTAGATATTCCAAGATGCTTTTGGAGAGGATGCCAGCAGCCTCTGCAAGGAGAAGCTTATCATTTACATCCAACAGAGAGATCTAGCATGGGGAGTACGGAGTGACCGCACAGGCTACGAGCGCGGGCTGGAGGTCTACCACCCCAATTTCTATGGTAGACAGCTGGGATTTAGGCAGGCAATCCCAGTGCCATTATTCGACTCTATGCATTATGGAACCTACTATCGCCTTTGCTTTCCCTTGGAGGTAACGTTTTGGGTAACTCGACATAGTTTAGAAGTGATGAGCAAAGTCGTCCACAAGCCCATAGCCCTTAACTTCGAGTGTACTCCAACCTTTGCCACTTGGTGGGAGGCCAAGTGGTTGAAGAAATATGAAGGGGACATCAGGGAGGCCCATGATCGTCTCTTTGAGCAGCTCTTTTTCAAATCCTATCCGAAGGAGGAGAAGCTTGAAAACTGGAAGAAGGTGATCCACCAGGAACCAGCTTCTTCTTATAGGTATCCTCTACTGCATCTATTTTACTTTTATTTGTGATACTTCCATAATCTATTGATCACTAATTCTTACTTTGCTTTGCAGCCCAAGGCAACACTGAGGAAGTGGACGTCGGGCCACCAGAAGAAGCTGCAAACGCACTTGTCCTTCAAACCGTTGATGAGGCTGCAAGGCAAGGGCTGGGTCCAAGTACTTTGAAAGTTTATTTGGTTGTTTTAGACAAACGTACAAATCGAACACCATTATCCCGACAATAGTTTTACCCCACAACAGCGGAAGCAAATTCAGAGGTTGAATCCGTCTTGTCATATCTCTTCCTCCTCTGTAAAAAAACACATGTTTAAGTGCTAAAGCCGATCCTATTCCCGCTACAATGAAAGTTCTTCTCAATGATTTAATGGATAATATTGCTTGCTACTGCAGCTGAAAGCATGAAAGTCACCTACCCTGGTCTCAGTCTGAGTCTGAGTTTGAGAGGACAAAGGTGGCCAAGCAGAAAATTCAACAAGAGAAAGTGACTGATCAAATCAAGAAAAGGTTGGGCGAGGCCATATCTACTGTCGATCCTAGATATATGGTGCAACCTCCCATCACCACTTCTGAATTCCTCGACAGAAATATATTTGTGATGATGAGATGGTTTAAAATGGCAGTAAGGTTTATTCGACCGGCACTGCAGACTGCAGATAGGAGACATTTCACCTTTTCTTTTCAGATCCCTTGAAACTACTCTCTCACCAATTGATTAATCGCTAAGCAATCCGTCCTGGATCCTACTAGAAATTAAGTAGAAACAACAACCACAATCTCTTTCTTACAATTGTTTATCATGATATATATTCCTTGCACTTGCAGAGATGATCATGATATCATACCAAAAATAAAAATACACAAAAATAGAACATATGCTGATATGCACTCGATCGGCATAATTCAGTAAAACAATGGGAAAGGGAAGTGAGTGCAGTATCAACAAACGCTGTTATGATATTACAATGTCAAGGCGGACTAGAAAGTCATTATTTAACTATAACGTCCAAGAAGGAATTAGCATCCCTACTCCCGCTCCCGCTCCTGCTCTTAAAAGTTTTCTGGATGAAAATGGAGATGGAGGAGATCAGAGTTCGCCTTCGCCTTCACCCTCGCCCTCGAAAGTTGAAAATGAAGATCATCCAGAGAATGGTTATGACCGTAAAATATTGAAGCAATTGATCAATGGGGATGAAAGATCAAAGGCGGTCATCAAATCAGGTAACGAAGGGAGCACTGGAAGAAGTTCACTTGGCCAACACTTCACTGAAGAAGAAAAAGGGAAGCACCTTCAACTGGTCAAGAAGCAGCAAAAGGCAGAAGAGAGTTTGCAAGGAGGAATGAAGCTCAAGAAACTGGTGAGTCGTTGTGCCAAAGTTTTTGGCCATTTGGTCACAGTCAGGAGCGACCGAACACTTAGAGAACCAAGGAAGCTTGAGGCCGCGGTTCCTCAGTTAACTATGTAATATTGTAAGCAATGAGTTTCTTGCTTGTTTGTTTCTACGTATAAACTAAAACGCTTCAATTGCTTTGTATTCTCCCCGCGTATAGAGTACTATATGTGTTCTATGTATTGTGTGAACATATATTCGATTGGATTCGAGTAATTTAATGCGATACTTACCAAGATATATTTAGTTTCAATTGTCCTTCTGCTATATATTTAACTGACAAGTCGAAATTCACATGCCCAGCTATTTGGACTATTAGATTAGAACTATTGTTGAAAATCCTCTCATGCACTGTTTTCTATTACAACTCAAGAGCTCACCTGTTGAGATTTGAGAACACGACCTATTAATTACCTACACAAAACAAAATTAATGTGCTGGAAATCAAACTTTCCTAAATCAATGGGGCAGGGGGAGGATAAAACTCTCAACGTGTGACTTATTCCAATTTTATGAACTAAGTCGAGTTTAGTTCATAACATGTATTGATTACCATTTTTTTCAATCAACCGAGGAGAGGGTAATGTTTGCTAATAAAATTTCATCTCTTCTGGAGTTGTAATTTCAGGGTAATGTTAGCTAGATGAACCAAATGAATAAGAATTTCCCCCTTAAAGTAATGATTTACTGATTAAAAACAAATGAACGCTTGGATTCTGTTTGAACTAAGTTATCTGAAACTACAGAACCCAGTCACTCAAACAGCTGAATGTTTAGTAAATTATTATACACAGATGAACAACGGCGTGCAATCATGCCATCAATCCCTTCAATAAAAAGAATTAAAAGGACAAATAAGTAAAGAATTAAATGGCCTTGTTGACATTATGAATTGCCGAAATTTTTTCAGCTTCTCCTAAAGCAGAATTAGGTCTGCCCGGTTAATTTCTCTCAAGCATGTGCTTGTAATAAAAACTAACAAGTATATACAGAACTTCGAGTCAACATTGGTTTCAAGTGGACACTATGCCAATAGAGGCTCCATCAAAGGTTTACAGCGAGCAGTTTGGAGTTTCATGGTGTATGTGACTACCACAGAGACAAGTGCACATAACGCCGGAACAAGACCCAATCCAAATCTCGTGACTGAGATGTTGACATGATTTGAATGGTTTTCCTGTATGAATCTGTTACCTGCATATTAAAAGTTTTACATTGGGAACCAACTATTGCATACTATAGTACTCAAGTCATTTTCAGGGGAAATGGAAACAAGCATTGACGAGTTTTAGTACTATGGCGACCGAAGCTCAAACAAGAAAAGACAACACGAGAGTAACTAATTCCATTGTAGAGACCCTACATGAGTCTTCAACCATTGTCATGACCACATGAACACCTTTCTCATGTGAGAAATTGTATAACCCGATAATGAAACAGAATCAAGCAGAAGTAAAAATACCCTACCACCATGAAATAACAATAATGCACTGTAATGGGGACGGTGATACACAATTACATTACGTTCAACACTGACAAAACTGAAACAAAGTTGCTCTAGTTGCTAGTAGTCCATGCAGATAAAAAAAGAACCCGTCACCCAAAACTCATTAAGCCCAACGAACTAAGAACCACAGAACCAACTTTATGAATCCAATATAATGACAGAAAAAAAAAAATACATAACCAAACATGCAATAGATATAGCAAGATCCACAAAATTGTAACTTACTTTGATAGGACTGAAGAACAAATAAGGCAAGCCCACATGAGATTTTGTCCAAGAAGCTTAAAGATCCACATACAAATGCACATCCATTGAGATCTGTACCAATTAAAAAGCTTTGCATGCTTACTCCAGTAACCTGTCACATCAAAAGATGATTTAGACTGAATTTATAAGAAACTACTCGACTAAAATGGACTGATATTGCACGTATGTTTTAAAACCAGCAGCATCTCCATCAATAATAAGAACTCTTGCTTTCTTCACAAACAATTCTATTCTCAAGCTTCAGACTGAGAAAGCAAAAAAATAGAGTGAAAGAAATGTCAATCCTTAAAGGTCATTTCAACATAAGGAACACGGGTCATACAGAGTTCTTCGTTGTCTCAAGTTTTTAAAACTGTACTACCACTTAGACATCTATCATCTTTTATGTTGTCAACAAATATTATGTGACAAAAATCAGCTGGCAGAGATATGACAGTGTCCACCTTTCTAAGGGCAATACATGCATGTACTTCTATATTCGTTTCAAGTGTTAACATAGTTCATATATCGTCTTGAACCAACTAAAACGGAGAGGGACATGGGGGAGTAGTGAAGAGGCTCCAATCAACCTATGGCAATTCCAGTAAGTGATTGACAACACCTCCGGTATCTCACTCAGCCACAGTGCCTCAACTAAAGTATCAATACGTATCAACTTTACTGACTAATTTCAAAATGCAACCAATTTACAATACACTTAAAATTTTCATGAAAGAAGTTCAAATCACCAAAGCATGACATCATACCATCATCAAAGCATTCGCTATGCCAATAAATATTGATATGAGGAACATGAAAGCACTCATGTTGCTAGGTAAAAATAGGATCCCTGCTCCGCAAAATATCCACATAATGGCTCCAGCAGAAAAGAAGGTCTTCAAGGAATGACCATTCCATGAAATCTCCTAGAATACTAAAGTTAAATGGTTAGGCACCAACACAACAAAGCGCATATGTCATATCAAAGATTTTATCAAACTGAGTTCGCAAGGGACCTGTAGTAGTACAGATACGAGGAAGCTACTTATGTAGATAATCGCAGGAACCTATTCTCATCAATTAAAAGAGATAAATCAGTCTCTCATTCTTTGAAAAAAATAAAAAAAATAAAAAAAAACGCTTCTGATGATGAAGGTGTGCATACCAGAGCTTTAGCTGATTGCGCCATTCGCAGATCATCTATAACATAGAATGCAAGATATGCCTGAGTAAACGAAAGCCGTCTAGGTTAAGTACAAAGGTTGACAACAAAATCTGGCAATTACTTCTATTATGGGAGAAAATATTGCAAGAGTGGTTTCCTAGGAAAATCAGTATGATCAGGGAGTTCTCAACTTGGATGCTCAACAAATCCGTTGGGACTCAGCTGTCCCATTTCTTATTAGTTGCAGTTTGTTCTTTTCGTGATGGATAAAAATGATCACAAAGAGGGAGCAAAGTGTGCTGACCTGTGAAACATTGACCACTAGCCTGGTCAGCACATAAACAATAGCAACCTGATAATACAGAACTTTCTTGAACCAGTATGTCCATGAAATCCTTGAACTACTGTTTCCTTGTGCGCTGACTTTTAATCTGCATGTGTAATGCAGATTAACTATCTACAGTTGGAGGTTATCAGGTTTTACGAAATAATCACAGAACGATTAAGAAATGATACAGGAACATTTAAATCCAAGATCAAAAACAAAAAGAAGATACTTATGATGCAAGACTTTCTGATGAAGCTAGGAAAAGAACAGAGGAGAATGCTTCTAATAAATGCAAGGTGGGGAAAGAGCATAGGATGAAATAGAGAAAACAGGGACGTTAATTAGAACTACAAAACTATGGTAAGTCAAATCCATAGTCTTAATCAATTTCTCTAATATTCCCAAAGTTTGAATAGAAATTATCATCATAATAAAATTTACATTAATATAACACCTACACAATATGGTAAAAACCTAAAGTTCTTTCAGACCCTAAATTAATGCAAATGATGGAAATAAATAAGTAACACTCTGCAGTCTGCACTAGCGCATATTGAAAATGATACAAATTCTTCTTGCAGCCCTCATAAAATGTGCATCTTATATTACGACAATGGTATAAGCATTCAAAGAATGAATCAAAAGTCAAAACTTAAGCATTTAAAGAACGAATCAAAAGTCAAAACTGAGAGAAAATTAGCAAACCTTGGCTCTTTTGTGCCGAGATGAAATATACCCACAAAGCAGCATCCTATGAAAATTGACAAATACGCAATCCAGCGGTACTGCTCATTTGTGAAAGTGATGTGATGGACATACTTGAACAGAAGATCTTAATAGATGGACCAGAACTGCTTAGAAAATAATCATACCTGAATTTCAATGTCGGCATGTGTATTTGCCCGAGTGACACCAAAGACAACAAAAGCAACTGCATACAGGCTGAGGTTGGCAACCTTTAAAAGGCTTAAAATATTTCAATCAATGCAAACACAAAACAAAACATGGAGCTGAATAATCAATTCAAAACTTAAAGGGGACGCTGCTAACCATAGTAAAAGCATTTCGACAGCTAGCTAGCACCACTCTGCTATTTGAATTCAGCGTAATGCAATTCAACATAGACCTTCAACAAAACAGTTATTCTTTGTAAGTGTTTAGATATTCCATAGGCAAAAAGAAAATGCCTTTTCATTTTCTTTTCCTCAAATAAGGAGGTTAGGGACAGGGTTCCAAGCTTACTGAATTTGAAAAAAAAATCCGTCTATTGACTCAATGCAATCATCAATATAAATTTCTAAACCTCTCTAGAAGAGTTCATAGCCAATGGCGACACATACATGATAGAAAATAAAATAAAAATAATGAGGTAAATAGAAAATTGAAATAGCAATGGCACCATTTCAAGTTTATCTCTACCAATTAATAAAACACTCATTGTCAACCAAAACCCTATGAAATTACCAGTTTAACCCTCTAATTAAAACAAAACATGAATAAGAAAATGGGGCAGAAATGTTTTACACAACCAAATTTTACTGTTTTTTTTCCAAAGCCTCACCTACATGTAATCCTAACATATCTCTAATAATAAAAATTAAAAAAAAACTTCCCACTCCCACATTCTCTATCACTCTCTTCCTCTCTCCTTCTATTTCAAAAACAAAAATAAAAAATTTTCTCACACACTTTGTGTGTGCCCATATGCTAGTATTTATTAGAAGAACACTAAAGGAGCATTTTTTATTTATTATTTTATTACAACAGAAAGAGGTTTGGCGAAGATTGTTCTTCCATTGGGTTTGTAGTTTTATTTTATCAGAAGGAGCTCATAGACTTTCACTTTAAAACTCACAAAGTACTTACATGTGTGAAACCTGAGTAGCAGCCCAACCAACGTTAAAGATGGCTGCAAATATACTGTAACCGACAGTTCGCAATGTTGATGAAGAGGTGCCAAAAATTTTACAAGGTATGCAAGCACCAAAAACGGAAGAAAAAGATATAGCAACCAAAACAGAGCCTGCACCATGCCACAATTTGAAATGTCCAAACCGATCTATCTATCAAGTTGCAAACAGAAACAAATATTATTTGCGGACCAAATAAAAAACCATGGTTGCAACTTGCAATTGCCAAAACTGAAAAGGAAACAGGAATTAAAAGGTTCACAATTATTAATTCATAATTTCTTTTTCTGGTCGGGTATGATTTCAATCACTTGGATGGGTGGTTTTCTGGGCTTAGTCCCCCATCACTTATGTAACATTGACACTTCATTTATAACATTGTCGATATGACACGACTCTAGATAAGTTATGGCTTCTAAATACAATACATACAAGTAAAATGTTGAAAGCAAGCTAGCACGTCTAAGGGAAATAGGCCATGTAGGTATGTGGACTTGTCAACATAAAGTTCCAAAAAAAATTATATTGGCACTTAAGCTATGCGATCCATCAAGCATGCTTTTCAGCATATACTAAGTCATTTATTGATGAATGTTGAAAATACGGATAGCAAGAAGCATCCATGTATGATACAATTATAATCAAGATACCAGTTCGCCAGCAAATATGGTTGCAAATCCATCAGCTATTTGACCAGAAAGCATAACAGTAGCAGCATCCCTGAACAGAAATAAAAATAATGAGAAAATAACAGTTAAGAAAGAGAAAAAGAAAAACATGTGGTACACCTTAAGAAAACATATCTTTAAGGATTGATGATACAAAACGCTGAAACTATGAGATGGTAATACAATAATGTTGAGAATAGAAAATCCCACAAGGTGAGTTCTTAGCCTTTGCATCACCATACATAAATTCTCACACCTCTCAACCACTTGCAAATTGGTTTTCGCATTGATGCCTCTTAACATTAACATAGTATGAGAGCAAACAATTCATCAACATTTTAGGCCTAGTTCAGCAACATGCAGTTTACGTCACCCAATATAACTAGTTTGCGTGCTTAACATTTTTCAGCCACGCATAAGGGGGCATGTTAATCAAATAAAGTCTCACTTCCAGAATTCTAAGCCTTGCATCTATTATGTAACAACTTGGATGCCCTAACTTCTAGAAATAACAACTTTGATTAAAACATGGATTAAATGATTTAAGCATATTTCAAGTTTTCATCATATTTGATACCAAGATTGTGCAACTTATTCAGATGATATTAGGATAATGACATAGTACAACCCTGAAAAGGTTAGCATAGCCTAACTGCCCTAATCAACCTGACAAGTCTCATTCGCTCCTATCTGTCAAATTTGTAGACTTCCCCTAAACTATCTAGATATTTTCTCTCATACTGCAAATTTGGCCCTACAGTTCCTTCCTACCACAGAAACCAATGCTTTGTGAACAGTGGATAATTATTTTTTCATACTCATTATTAAAGTGGACAACATTTAACATAACATGTTGCTAAGTCTTGAAAGCTTCACGCACCCCCAAACTCATCCACCATGATCTGTCTGTACGTATATATGTGTGTTGCATTTCAAAATAAGCAGGAGCGCATATGCCAATGTGCGTAAACAAACGTATAAGTGCAGATGTGGGTCGAGGTACAAAGAACTTGAAACTAAGGAAATCACTAGAATTTACCTTGGGGAAAGTCCAATATCTGTCAAGAACAGTAAGAGATATGTAAACCAACAGGAAGCAGTAATGTCATTAAGCATATGCCCCACACCGTAATAAGAGACGGTGCTTCTCCCAAGAGTAGTTAATGAATCAACATCATCAGTGGCATTAGCCATAAGGGAAATTTCAAATTAAAGAGAACCTGCAGAGCAAAAGAATTAAACTTGAGAAAATACAACTCTGAGTCTGAGGAGCTCAAACAAACTCTAAAATATTTGATTCTAGAATAGAGACAGACGAAACCAAAAATAGGCAAGAAAATCACAGGGGAAGGGGATAAAAGGAAACCTCTTGTATAAGAAGATGGGGTGGAGGAGGAATTGAATGGGAGGTTAAGAATTTTCATAATCTATTTGTGTTAGTAAAACCAACAATCGTATAAGTTATGGATTAATAATTCAACAGAGAAAAACGGAAAATGAAAGGGTTATTATATCCGTGAATTATGAATGGTAGATTAGAGCTGCACCGAGAGTGAGAGAGAGAGAGAGAGAGAGAGAGAGAGAGCAGCAACAAGTAAGGAGGAAGAAGAAACCAACCTTCAGCTTTGATGCGGAAGCAGCGATGAAATGCAGCCCAACATATAAATGGGTCTTTGTCGTCGTCGTTCTCTCCCTCCCTCTCTCTGGGCAAAATCAGTTATCTGAACAAAGTAGAAGTAAAGCAAACCAAGTCGTCATTGTCCTTGTTTCGTGTGCAACGAGAAGATCGTTAAAAAGTTAATTTTGATATTATTTATTCTACTTTTTATTTTATTATTATTATTAAAATTTAAAAATTTTAAATTTTTTTTATTAATTCTCCTTTAATATTTAGCTGCCTTTCTTGGAGCTCCCAACCATCAAGACCGTAAACAAATTGAAAAGTATGTAACTGTAAGTTTCTCTTTTCCAATAAGGATTAGGTTCTTTCCCTCCCTCTTTTCGTCCTTTTTAATTTCATTATTTTACATTCTCTTATTTGTTTTTCTTTTACAATAAAAAATTAATATAAAATATTAACATAATTTAATTGTAACCGTTTAAATAAAAAAGAAAGAAGATATTCATACTCCTCTTTCCAATAAAACTAGAAAGCAGCAAACTTTGCGCAACGAAAATTGAAAACGACTTTCACTTTATTTACCCGAAGACGTGTTGAAGAGAGAAGAATCTAGCTCATGACACTAGGCGTGGGTTTCGCCAACAATGCAATACATATTGGCTATTGCTTGACAAAAGACAAATGCTGCTGTTTCCAAGTCCACCTAATTCCAAGTAATTCCGAGCGTTGGGACCTACTGAAGCCAACACAAAACACAAGATAATGAGAAAATTGGGGTAAAAATTAAAAATAAGAGAACTGTCACTCTGCTACCTTATCATTTTAATATAATATTTTATAATATTAACATAAAAATTAATATTTAATTGTGAAATGATATAAAATTTATGAACAATTCCAATTTCAACTTGACACACTTTCTTTAGCATTTCTCAAAAAATAAATGCCTCACATACTGTACATCCCTAAAAATCTAATCTACTGACTCCTGAGTACTGACAGCGACAAGGTCCCAACTACTAGTCCTTCCCAAGATTTGAAGGTAGAGAGCATGTTGTTGCAACTGCCAGCAATCATCGTCAACCCAATTCCACTGGGAGAAAGAGGATTCTCTTTCCTTTTGATCTCTCTTCTATTTTCTCTTTTTTTATTTGAATAATTACGGTTTAATCACATCAACATCTTATATTAATTTTTTTATAAAAATAATAAGACAAAAAATAATATATAAGAAAAAGAGAAGTAAGAAGATGGAAATAAGAAAAGAGAAAATCTTACACCATTCCATTCTCTTCATTCAAGATAAATAGCTATAGACAGCTAGATAGATATATTGGTCAACCCAACCAGTGGGTTTTTATTTTTGCCTTTTATTTTACAAGAGCTGAATTTCACACATTATCTTAACTTTCCAAGAACTTTTTTAATTTATGAGTCATGACCAAATGAAAATAGAACAGGATTAACAAAAGCACGTGAGAAATTATAAAGAGTGTGGGCTTATTATTTCTCATTGCAAATTTCTTTTTCCCATTGAAACATCTTATCCTTTGGGTCTCTATAATTAAAAGTCAGTTAATATCGCTTTTGAACTTTACACTATGTTTGGATGAGGGAAATAAACATGGAATTTTGGTAAAAGTCAGAATTTATAAATTAACAGACACCATTTCTCTTGTTTGGATTCATAAGCATAGAAATTTAGAATTTCCGCATGGAAAAAAAACTTGGAATTTGGGACCTCCAAATCCCAAGTTCAAATTCCATGTAAATAGGTGTCATTTCTCAATTTCTATGATTGAGAGTTTAAAAATAACAAATTCTATATTCAATTCCATTGTTCTTTTAGGTTAACCAAACAAGAAAATTTACAAATTCTAGAAAATAAAATCTCGTCATTTCAATTTCCGTCATTTTTAAATTCCTTAGTAATCTTAAATTTCTTCACCCAAACATAGTGTTACTGTCACACATCAATGTTGTCCTTGAATAGCGATTCAATTAGGTTAATGTTTGCATCCCTAAGAGGAATGCCATAAGGTATCATCGCCATATAAAATTCATAATTCCTCGTGGAAAGTGTTATTAGCATTTCAAAAATCTCATTCTACATTCCTCACAAGTATATTTTTCTTTCTAAATATAAAAAATTTAGAGTGTGGAATGAGGAATTTGGAGTGCCAATAACAATTCTCATTCTCAATCTTTATTTTAAGATCATTCTTATAACAATAATTTGAATCAGAAATCATTTAATCGTCCAAATGTAGTTCATCATGAAAATGTTACTTGGTACTCACACTGTTGATTTGTTCCATATATTTGAATAACTAAATGATTTCTTATCCGAATGATTTTTTTTATATAAGAATGATCTTCAAATCAAAATTGAGATTATGAATTTTATACGGTTATGATACTATATTTTCTTGTTATAAGTCGTCCTGGAAATTGGGATATATCATCATTTTCCTCTTTATAATTGAACATCAATCAATAACATCTCTAAAATTAACTACCACACATCAATATGTTTTTTGTCAGTCAAATCTGTCAAATTTTTTATTAATATGCTAGTATGGCACTCATGTGGGGTCAATACACCCAAATATTTGGCGCAGAAATAAAATTAGGGTTGATTGAATTTCACACCCTTCAAGTTTTAAGTGATTTAAGTTCTAATTTTATCATGTTGCACTTTAAGATGTTGAAATTGTATCAATTTGTGCATTTGGTCTTATTTATTGTATGATAATTTGCTACATGAATGATATGATGACCTTGAGCCCCCTTATATGTGTTGACGTGTAAGTTGCATTTGCATCAAATTTAAAAGGAAAAAAAATTCATCAGTTTAATGATGGATTAGACATTCAAAGAAACAAAATGCATAAACTGATACAATTCCAAAACCTCATAGGGCAATGTGAGAAACTCATGGTGCATTTTGAACCCCACTTTATAAATGTATTAGCCCTAAAACTAAAGGAAAACAAATAAATTTAAACATTAAAAACCATAATCAAAAGGTTTAGGTGTCATATTAAAAATGTAGAAGCAGCTCCACCCTTTAGGGCAATAATTGTCCAAACAATAGGCAATTATTGCCGTAGAGAGTAATAATTGCCTAAGTGAGTATTTGACTAATCAGGGATAACCGTTTGAGTGAGTATTTGACTAGTCAAGGATATGTGAACAACAAACTATGCCCTTGTGCGTTTTATTAAGAAGTCAGATTCTGATTTTACGATTGTTGCAGTTTATGTCGACGACATGAATCTCATCGAAACTCCTAAAGAGCTCGAGAAAACTGGCGCACACCTGAAGTTGGAATTTGAGACGAAAGATCTAGGAAAGATTCGACATTGTCTCAATCTCGACATAAAGCACCATTCGGATGGAATCTTAGTACATCAATCGAACTACACCCATAAGGTGTAGTGTCGCTTTAACGAGGATAAAGCAAGGCCTTCGAGTACTCATATGGTCGTTCAATCGTTGGATGCAAAACGAGATCCCTTCCGTCCGAATGAGGATGATGAAGAGATTTTGGAGCCCAAAGTTCCTTATCTAATTGAGATAGGCACTTTATTGTACTTAGCTCAATGCACTAGACCCGATATCTCTTTTGCTATTAATTTTTTGGCAAGAAACAGTAATGCACCAACACGTAGATACTAGATTGGAGTTGAAGACATCTTCCGTTAACTTAAAGGTACTATGGATCTGGATTTGTACTACCTCTATGGATCCTCGAGTGATGTCGCACCCCCCTTATCTCAAGTCAATTTTCGTCTTGTTGGTTATAATGACGCAAGATACTTAGCTGATCCGCACAAGGCGTGTTCCCAAACGGGTTATGTCTTTACCGTTGAAGGCACCCCAATCTCTTGGAAGTCCACTAAACAAACCTTAGTTGCCATTTTGTCTAACCATGCTAAAATTCTCGCCTTACATAAAGCAAATAGGGAATGCTTTTGGTTGAGAGCAGTTGTGGGCCATATTCAAGGCTTCTACAATCTTTACCCCGTCGTTGACGTCCCGATGACGATCTATGAAGACAATGCAGCATGCATCGAACAACTCAAGAAGGGTTACATCGAAGGAGACAACACCAAACACATTGCGTTGAAATTCTTCTTCTCACATTAACAACAATAAGAGCATCAGAATATTAAAGTCAACCAAATATGTTCACAAGACAATTTGGCGAACCTCTTCATCAAATCACTACTAAAGATGACGTTTCAGAAGCTTGTTAAAGGAATTGGTATGCATAAACTTTATGTGTTGTAACATTGCTAGTTCTCTTTGGAACTGTGTCAAACTTAGGGGGAGTATTCTGAAGTATACTTGTTTGATCTTAATGTACTCTTTTTCCCTACAATTAGCAGCATTTTTCCCACTGGGTTTTTGCTACCTAACAAGGTTTTGGCGAGGCACCCACCTTGGGTTGATCATATCCCTAATGACGTCCCGTAGACGTTTCATTTAACTTTCATTACTCACACATTTTCCCTTAGACTATGGATTTTGTCCTTACTTGGGTTTTTACCATAGCCTAAGGGTTTTTTGTGAGACTTATTTCCTTATGCAAGTTCCTACCTTATTTGAGAATTTAGATTTGATTCTAGTTATTCTTCCCTATTAGGACTTGTATTCCTTGGAAGAGAATGATTTCTTCTCTCTCTTATTACTAAAAATAAAGGCACTGTGAAGGGGGAATAACACATCATCTACACAACCCAACAAACACATCTCTCTCTATATTTTCTATGTGTCGTTGGCCTGCTCTTCTTGTTAATTAAATATAGGCCACAACACTAAGTACATTCCCACCTCGAAAAATAAACTATCCAGTAATTAGTATTAAAAATTATATATTAAAAAAATAATAAATTAGTAAAAAAATGATACAATTTTAGTATTAAGTATCTATTTCTTTTTTCTAAAACCACTTCCTCTCTCTCGAAACATCTTTTTCTTCCTCTTTTTCTCTGTCTCATCCCTCCCCTCTCATTCTTCTTTTTCTTCGTCTCACGCTTTCCCCTCCCCTCTCCCTCTCATCCCACTCTCTCCCTCCCCTCTCTCTCCTCTCACGCCCCAAAGAGTAGTATTATGTGTCTCGTCTCTATTAGAAAGATAGTACAAA